CTGGTGAGGAATAACAAGGGTCGCAGCAGCACCTACGTGGTCCGGCTGACGCAGAGGGTGGCCGAGCTCAAGCTGCAAGTGTGCCAAAAGGAGCACGTGCAAGCCGACCAGTTCTGGCTGAGCTTCGAGGGGAAGCCCATGGAGGACGCGCACCAGCTGGGGGAGTACGGCCTCACCACCATGTGCACCGTGTTCATGAATCTGCGCCTGCGGGGGGGCGGGGCAGGGCCAGGAGGGCCGCGGGGAGGGCGCCCCACTGAGCACTAGGAATACAGTTGTAGCACCCTCTGTAGCACCATTCTGCACCCTTCTGGTGAGATTGGGGGAGGGGTGGAGGAGGGAGTGGTAAGAGGGGACCCAGGGTCGCTGGGGGAATCAGCAGGCTAGGGTGGCCAAGTTAAGGGACAAGCCTAGTGGGATCAAAATGGTGACCTCCGCCTGCCCCCAGAGAAACTGAAGGTGTGTCCCCACATCTCTGGGAAATTAACTTCTAGAGAAATAAAAAGAGGCATATCTGCTGGAGCCTATCGCTGTCTTCACATTGAGCCATGGTCAGCCCCTGCCTGCACAACTGGTCCCCACTTCTCACATCTGGGTCAGCAGGTAGCACAGGGAGGGGAAGGCCTGGCGAGGTCCCAAAGGCCACAAGGCGAGTGTCCCTGGAGGCGATGAGTCCATAGGGCCTGCCTGGGCCAGTTGTGAGGGAGGCTTCCCCACACCAGCTGGGGTCTGGGGGCCTCTTGACCCTCCAGGAACCATCAGCCTACACTGTCCAGCCTGCATTGGTCTGGGGAAAAGTGGTGACAGGGCCTTGGGCACTCACATCACCATCAGGGCGAGCTGCTGAATCAGCAAATACGCCCTCCTTCAGGGTTCAGTTCATGAAGGGGCCACAGCCAGTAGGTGAGGGGGTACCTGGGATAGGGGTTCCTCCCATCCACGTGGAAGAGTTTGTCCCAGATAGGGGGCACCTAATTTGGCAAAACTACAGCCACTTCCACACCGGATGCATTTTTTCTGTGCCAGTTTTCCACATGAGCCACTCGGGAGCCCGGCTGAGTCAGCCTTAGACACGGGTGGGGGGGGGGGGGGGGGGGCGGGGGAGCATAGAACGTACACCTCTCTGGGCCAAAGTCCATGACTCTGGGGACACTCAGTCCTCAGCCTTCAGACTCTTCAGTGGCATTTGGCTGCAGACCCAGAAGCCCCCTTTCTGGTCTGTGGGGGTCCGTATCTGAGCTGGGGGACCCCCCAGGTCTGGCTTGCCTGTGACAAATATGTGTAGACATGCAGGTGTGGGGGGGGGGAGGGCTCCTGGCTCCAACCTCATTTCCTGGGCCCCCAACCTCACCTCTTTGTCATACTGTAACTTAACAAGTGTAAGCACACCCCCTCGGTGCCACCCTCCTTTCTTGACCCCCCCCCACCAGGGTCTAGGCGACGTAGGGTCCCCCGAGGGGCCTCTGCTGCTGCTCACCCTTCATTGCCTCCAGCTCAGAGGTCCGTGGCTGGCGTGGGTGAGGGGATGTGCGGCAGACCCGGCCCTGGAGGGACAGAGGGATCTCCTCTCCTTCCCCACCCCCACCATCTTCAGCTAGGTCGGGGTCTAATCTGGACCCTCTGGGTCTCGGTTTACCCGCCTGGACCCTGTGGGAATGTCTGGAGAAGCGCCTTGGGGGAGCTGGGGAGGGGGCGTGGCTGGCCGTCCACCGCAGACGCAATCGCCGCCTCGGACAGCAGGGGGAGCCCGCAGCCCTGCAGAGGGGCCGGAGCTGACCCGGGACCGGGAGGTGGGCGGGTCTGCGCTCCGTTGCGACCAATCGCCGCATTGGTCCCGGCAGGCCGGGGGTCCCGGGCCGGCCGAGCTTCCGTCCCCAGTTCCAGCGAGGGGCTGGGGTCCCCCGTCAGGTTCCTCCTGCCGGGGGAGGGGCACAGCCCTGCAGGGCTCGAGGGGCGGCGGGGCCCCGGATCTGGCAGCCCCTCCCCGCGGCCGGGGAGCCCCCGCCGTCCCAGCCCCGGCGCAGCCTGGAGCCCCTTGGAAGTCCCGTCACGTCGCTTCCAGATTATGCATTAACCCGATTTCAGCCGCATTTCCTGGCGGGGGTGGGGAACGTCCGCGCAGGCGGGGGAGGGGCGTCCGTGGGGGTGCGCCGCAGCAGGGAGAGCACCCTCGATCCCGCCCTGCCCCCGCCCCTCGGCCGGGCCAGGCCCATCACCCACATTGGCCCGACCCAGACTGGCCCTCTCCCTCCCCCAGCCAGGCCTCCGCCCGGCGCCGCCGTCCCGGCGCTTTGTTCGCGGCCGCCGCGGGTCGCAGGGCGCCGGGCGGGCCGGGGGCGGGCGCGGGCGGGCCGGGGCGGGGGGGGGGGGGGGAGGAGGGAAGGGGGTGGTGCTGCCCCCGGTCCCGCCCCCGGCCCGCCCCCGCGCCGCCCGCGCTCCCGCCGCCTCCCAGGAGCTGCGTCCCGTCCTGTCCAGTCCAGTCCCTGGCGCGGCCCGGCCCGTGAGCTTGCTCCGGCCGCCTTCCGCCGTCCTCCGCCCGCGCCATGGCCAGCCTGCGGCCGTCCGGCCAGGCTCCTCTGCAGCCACTGCTGCTGCTCCTGGTGGTGGCCGCGCGCGCCCTGCCCGGCGCCGACGGGACGTGCCCCGAACGCGCGCTGGAGAGGCGGGAGGAGGAGGCGAACGTGGTGCTCACCGGCACCGTGGAGGAGATCCTCAACGTGGACCCGGTGCAGCACACGTACTCGTGCAAGGTGGGCCCCCGCGTGACCCCCGGGACCCTGAGCCCCCTTCGGACCGTCCTGGAAGCCTGGGTTGGGGGCCTCTCCCCCGCGATCCCGGCCCCCTAGCCCGGAGGTCCTGCCATCGCGACGCCGGCCGCCCCGCTGAGACCCCCGCCCCGGGCCGTGGGAACGAGCCCCAGACGCTCCGCAGCGCCCGCGCCCGCTCCCTTGGCGACCGCCAACCCCCGCGTGGGGCGCCGGGTCTGGGAAAACTCGCGAGCGCTGGAGGGAAAGTTCTTGCGGTGCCGCTGCCATCCCGCCTCGCGGTGCCCAGGCCCCGGAGACCTGATCGTGTCTGCCCCTTCAACCCAAGCCCCCTCCCTTACTGGAAACAAGTGCGCCTCCCCCCAGGGAGAATGTTCCGCTACCGCACCCCCTACCCACCGGCCAAAGAAAAGGAACAGGGACGAGGGGAGGTGACGCTTTCTGCTTGGGGTGGAGGTGGGGTTTTGGCCTGTGGTCAGTGCTGTCGCCCCCCCCCCCCAGAGGCGAGAAGGGGTGGTCAGGAGAGAGTGGAGGGGTGCACATCTTATCTCCCAACCCCAGGGCTCCTGGTGGGGCATGCTGCAGTGATGGGTTTGGGGGCCGGAGCAGAGAAGTGGGCGGGGCCGTTGCTGAGCCTCAAGTGTCGGGGTGCAGGGCAGGTGCCCCATCCTGCTCCTGAGAGACCTGAATCTCCCCCGGCCACAGGGAGGGAGAACTTGCCTGGCCTCTCCTTCAGTTGGATCTGGGAGCCCCCTGGGATAGGTCTAGTGGGGTTTTTCCCACAATCTGTTCCTAGGGAGGGCTCAAGGGACCCAGGGCCCTGCCCCCCTCTGGCCCCTAAAACCACCTCCCCGACCAGAAATCGGATCATTCCTCTTCCGTGGAGATGGGGAGGGGTGGCAGCTTCTTTCAGCCTGGCCTGTGCGGGCTACAGCTGGGATCCCCCGCCGGGCCCCCTCCCCTCCACCACCGCCAGGGCACTTTGCCAAGTCCCTGCAGGATTTTCCCGACTTCCTCCCCGCTGCTCCTGGGTGTGGCTGGGGTGGGGGGAGGCGATGAAAGCCACCCAGCCCTCCCCTGCTAGCTGTCGTCCTTCTAGAGCCTACTGTGTGTCTAGGGGTGGGGGGGCGGGAGTTGGCCAAGGCTCCCCCACCTCCCCATGGCCACTGGAGGGTGGAGGGAGTCCCTGCAGATTTCTCAGACCCGAGGCTCCCAGCAGGGGCAGGCAGGTGGACGGGCCACCATTGTCTTTCATTCCCCATTCTGGAAGTCCTGGCTCCCCAGAGCTCCCGAGGAAAGGGGTGTCTTCCCAGGTGCAGCATGCATGGGCACGTATCCCCATGGACCTTTTCCTTTAGGACCGCCTGTTCTGACTGCAGCCCTCCTCCCCCCACCCCCAGCAGGCCGTGGGCGTCCCAGGGCCTGGTTTGTCAGAGCAGGTACCCTCAGGGCCCCAAGAGCAGAGTGGGGAGGGTGGGGCTGCCCTGTGCTGCCCAGGCTTGATTTTGAGGTTCACAGGCTGCCTTGACCGCACGCACTGTAGGAGCCTTGCAGGAGGAGGGCGTTTCACCTGCCGGGGGGCATGGTGTCTTTGCCCACCCACAGGGCTGCATGGAGCCCAGCTGGCCCAGAGCCCTGAGCTCAGAGCTCATCACCCTGAAACTTCATCATCCACCTTAGCTGCTCCTGGCTCTGCCCATACAGAATGGCCGGAGCAGTGGGTGGGACGATAGGGAGAGTGGGGCACGGAAGGCAGGCACCCCAGCCGGCTGGGTCCCCTTCCCGTAACCAGCCTGAGCCGAGAAGGACGTTGTTGGACTTGGGCTGGCTGGGGGTTGGGGGGCTGCTTCTGTTTGCAGGCCAGGTGTCCTAGTGTGTGACACACACGGGTGGGCAGTGGCATCCATCGTGTGTGTGCCTCCCTGCAGCTTCCTCCTGGGGGGCTGACCCAAAGATCTCCACACATCTGCCCAGGGTTTGGGTCTATCTACTCTGGACATCTGGCCTGAGCAAGTGAGGTGGGAAGAGAGGAAGAAGCCCAGGTGTCAGCCTCTGCGGCCACCCCTCCCCAGTGGGAAGAGGACCACTGACACCTGCGCACCCCCCGTGTCCACCCCAGGTTCGGGTCTGGCGGTACTTGAAGGGCAAAGATGTGGTGGCCCAGGAGAGCCTGCTGGACGGAGGCAACAAGGTGGTGATTGGCGGCTTCGGAGACCCCCTCATCTGTGACAACCAGGTGTCCACTGGGGACACCAGGATCTTCTTTGTGAACCCAGCCCCGCCGTACCTGTGGCCGGCCCACAAGAATGAGCTGATGCTCAACTCCAGCCTCATGCGCATCACCCTGCGGAACCTGGAGGAGGTGGAACACTGCGTGGAAGGTGCGTGAAGGGGCAGAGCAGGGGAGGCACCGTGGGGGCAGGAGAGAGTTTGCTGGCGGCGAGAGCACTTGGCATCTCGTGGTGCAACCTCCTTTTCTGAGTCCCAGCTCCCTGGCTTCCCAGCCGTCTCAGCTCCAATCTCTGATATAAGCAGCGCTCCCCACCCTGGCCCTGGAGATGCCACCACTTTTTGTCTTGGAGCCAAGCGAGTCCCAGCCCTGCAAAGGGACAGGCCTCCTCTCTCTTCCCCTCCCCCTCCGTAGTTCTGCACGGCCCTTCCTGGAGTTCCCTGTTCTAGGAGAGAGGCTGGGACCAGGTGAATGAACATCAGTTGTTTGTGTTCTGCAGAAGCCCAAACATCTGTTTAGACAGGGCCCAGATGTTGAGCAAACCCGTTGGGGTGGGGCTTAAGGGTTGTGCTGGAGGTGGGGCTACCCCACCATGTGTTCCAAGAGGCCTGTCATTTCTGGGAGGGGCAGTTATGTGGAGTGGGCTGCTTCCAGAGTTTGAGTGGGTGTGGGATCCCCTCACAGAGGTACAAAACCTCTCCTTGTCTGCCCTCCCCATGCGTCCGTTCTGAATGGCCCAAGAGCATCCCTCCCTCACCCCAGCCTCCGAGAGGTGAGCAGGAATCACACGACCAGGGCTCACCCACCCACCTCAGCCCAGGCGAATCCCAGCTGGGGGCTGAGATCCATGGCTGAGGAACGTAGCAGGGAGAACATAGGAACTGCCTGTCGCCCTCACATCCTGTCTGTCCCCTCATGGCTGCCTGGGAAGGGATGTACTGGAGAGGGCGGAGAGAGGAGAGAATGCTTCCTCCCAGGGCAGTGGGAAGGGTCCTTGACTTCCTGTCCTGGGAAGGTGACCCTGTCCCTCTGATTTGCTCTGTTGGCCAGCAGGGAAGTTCCGTCTTCCACCCAACTTACTGCTGTGGTGCTGGCTTGGCTTTTGCGGGGTCCTGGGTGGTGGACTGTGCAGGGCGAGGGGCAGGACCTGAAGTGGGGAGCCCTGTAGCATCCTGCGCGGCCTGTAGTCCATTGCTCCTGGGGCTGTGTCCAGGGTCCCAGCCTGCAACATCATACAGCGAGGCCGGTGGGGCTGTGTCACTGGTCCCTTGTATCACCAGCTTAGCTGAGGAGGTCCCAGCATGGCCCTCCCACCAGGTGAGGACTGGAGACCCTGGCCCTGCTCTGGAAGCTTGTGGTCTAGGGAAGAGATGGGAGGGTGGCATGGAGATGGGGCAGGCTGTGGGGTGTGATGCCCAGTTTTGAAAGATGAGTTGGGGGCTAAGGAGAGGGTCAGGGCACAGAGAGCCCCCATTTCTGCAAGATCAAGAAGGCACATCACTAACTCTGCAGCTGGACCGGTCCAGCCTGAGGGTCCACGACTCGGTAACTGAGCCCTTCTGTGGGGTCAGAGGGCATGTGGCAGGAGGGCCACCCCAGGCAGAACAAGATTTGCCGTCTTGCCAGATCCTGCTCTACCCAGGCCAGGCCCTGGTTCTGGATACATCAGGCTGGGCAGAGGGACACCTGGAAAGGAGGGCCCACAGGGAGAGCTCCCAGCGAGACTTCACCTTCTGTGTGCCGGCTGCCCAGGATAGGGACCGGGCTAGGCCCCCAGCTCCAGTTGGGCCGGTGGGGGAGGGTGGTGCTGGGACCCACAGGCCAGTGTGTAGCAACGGGGTGAGCACCCAGAAGGGGCCGAGGCCACCAGAGTCTTCTGGGGTGGGCCTGCCAGGAGGAGGGTCTTGGGGAAGGAGGTTCATGGAGAGAAAAGGAAAGGAAGTAGCCTTGACTGTAGCTTGGAGCCTTGTGGTAGAGCCAGGGTGGAGGGGAAGCCCCCAGGGAGGGGAGGGGCCCAGAGTGAGAAGCTTGGGGTCCACTGCAAGGGGCCAGGGAGCCCTGGAAGTTTTGAGCCCATGACACGGATCCCTTCTTTGGAAGCAAACCGGGGCACCTTGAGGAGCAGGGGCTGCGGGCAGGGTGGGTGCATCCCAGGGACCCCAGTTAGATGGGGGTGCCTCCCCCTTGAGCCTCCCGAAGGCCTGAGGCAAAAGGCCCCCTGGAGCTGGGGCCGGGCTTGGGGAAGAGACAGTCCTCTCCCCACCTGCCCCAGCAAGGTGCGGCTGGGAGGAGGGCCCGCCTTCCACTCTGTGGGAGATAAGGGCCTCAAACCCCACTCCAGGCTCTCCAGGGAGACAAGGCTTCACCCTAGTGGGGGGTTAGGGTTAGGGATGGGCAGGGCTTGAACTAAGATGACCCCTCCCTGTCTGATTCTGACCCTGTTCTGTTCCTGGGAGCCCACAGCTGCCCCTGCCCCACAGGGCCCAGAGTGAAGGCCACTGATTTGTGGAGGTGACCCCAAGACCACCCAAGACCCCTGTCTCTAACACACCTCTCCCCGGCCCCCAAAAGGCCCACAGCCGCGAAGGTCAGGGGCACAGCCTGCCAGGCCCACCTCCCTGGATGCCCCCAGCTCATCCCCACCTGGGCCCCAGCTCTACTGGGACTACCTTCCTCAGTTTCTCCCCCAGGGCCTGCAGGGTCTTCCTGGCTCTGGGCCCCTTCCCCAGCCTCCAGCCCCCAGGAAGCTCCTCCCCAATCCTCCGCCTGGGGAGCCACATTCCGAGCATAACTGAGACAGGTATGTGTCCCTCCCTCTGCGCCACCTGTGGGTGAGGGAGACGATGCTCTGCTTCAGAGCAGCCTCTTCAGGAAGGAGCCCCTCGCCCCCTGCTTTGTCAGGGAAGTGGCCTGGCCTCTTCCAGTGCCAGCTGCCCACGCACCATGAGCCTGCCCAGGCTGGAAGCTGAGCAGGCATCTCCTCCAGCCTTCAGCCACTTTGCCCTGGTCTGGGCAGCACCCATACACTCCCACCACCCTCCCCTCCCCCACCTTATGAAGACTGGTCCTGGGGCCCCCTGAAGCCCCTAGGAGGGATGCAGGCCTGGGGCCCTTCCCCAGGCCTTTCCCTGCCCACTAGGAGCCAGGAGCAGAGAAAGGAAGTGTTGTCTGCCCTCTCCAGGTCTGGCACAGGGACAGGGTCGGTGAGTCTGGCTGTGGCCCAGCTCAGCCCTGCCCAGCCCTGAAGCCCGGGGTCCTGGCGGCCATGGCCTAGCCTGGCCAGCCTGATTCCAGTGAGCACCCTCCCTCCCTTCCTCCCTGCCAGGCCAGCTTTCTAGGGCCTTTGGGAAGGCAGTCCTATGTAGCTCAGGCTGGAGAGGTGCTGGGTCCCGGGCCAGCCTGGCACTGGTGCAGGCGCTATGGCCTCGGAGCTGGATGTGGACTGCAGACACCCCCAGACAGGGACTGGCTCTCCCTGAAGCAGGGCGGGGGCAGGTAGAAGTCCAGAGGGAGTTTCCTGGGCGGGCTCCCTCTGCTGTCTGGCACTTAGCTTCTGTACCCCCAAGTCCTCTGAGCCTGTCCTACTCCCGCCACATTCCTCCCTGAGGTGGGAGGTGGCTGCTTCCTGTCCCTGTTTCCCTCTTCCAGACTGTAGGTTCTCACCCCACCCCTCCAGACCCGCCTAGCGCCCTCGGCCCCTCCCCCAGGCAGGCCCAGGCTGGAGGCTGCCCGCCCAGGCTTTCTCCTTCCTTCCAGCAGCCAGGGGTGGGGCATCAGCTCAGGTGGGGTGTGACCGCCCCCCCCACCCCGCCCGCCTGTCCTCTCCCCACCTGGGGGTCCGTGGTAGATAGTCAGCGCTAGAATGGACCTGTGCCAGCTTTGTCTTCCCCTGGGCCCACGGTGGGCTGGCTGGTGTCCTCCCTGGGGCAGCCCCAGGGGGCTTGGGTGGGGGGCTGCTCCAGAAACCAAAGGCCTTTGGATCCAGTCCCTTCACTGCGCCAGACTGAGCTAGTGGAAACAGCTCTTGGCTTTTTCCAGACCCCACCCCATCCCCCTGCTCCACACCCAGAGAACAGCCCTGGTCTCCATTCTCCCCTGCAGATTGGAAATGCAAAAAAAAAAGTTGTTTTGAAACTGTCCTCCCCTCTCCTGCTGTCTATACTGGCCTCCCCCAGGGTGCTGGACAGAGTGGATTCGGTGGGGCCTGCCTGTGCCCTTACAGCATCTCTGGGGGTGCTGGGACCCACGTGCACAGAGGAGAAATTAGATTCACCTGGTCAGGGCTAGCTGGCCCAGGTGTGGGGCTACAGCCCCCTGCCCCGCCAGTCCTACAGGCTGAGGTGGGGGGAGTGTAGAGGGTGGCATGGGGCTGCCAGGTAAGGTTAGCAGGGGAGTGGGCCCAGACTTCAGGGCCGTGGATCTAGCCAGAGGTCACTCTCACCATCACCCTGCTACAGTCAGGCCAGCTCAGCCTCCTCCAGCCTGCTTTGCTTCCTTCCTAAATGGTTAATTCTCCCCAGCCCCCTGAGAAGCAAAGCCTGCCCCCACCCCCATCACCACAGGAAGGTGGAAAACAGCTGCAGAAACAGGCCTCTCTCCTGCCCCTGCACCTGCCCCAGCCCTTTGCCTCCACCTGCAGGCTCCAGGCCAACTGCCCTCCCTCCCCCCACAAGTTCTACCCTTGCCTAGAGGCCTGGGGCGGGGGGCAGGGGGGATGAAAGCTGGGCTCCGTCTCCTGTCCTGCTCTGCTGGCCCCAGCCGCCCCCCCACCATTGAGATAGGTGAACCATGGCTCCCCACACAGGCCCCCAAGGCCCAGCCGGGCTGGGGGCTGCAGGCACAATCACTGAAATAGCCCCAGTAACCCCTGACACCCCAGAGTCCCAGAGAGTGCCCGCCTCTCATTGAAGAGCAACAGGGATCTCAGAAATGAGACAGCACCCTAGCGACAAGCACTCTGGTGACACTGATGCAGCTCATCAGAGGGCACTGTGCCCCCACGGGCTACACTGGGGCTCAGGAGGGATCACGTTCCAGTCCCAGGCTGCGGCTGGGAGCCGGGCAGGGGTGACTAGGCCTCTGGTGGAGTTTCCAGTGGGGAGGGAAGCTCCCCTAGAAGGGGCCTCTCCCCCCAGAGCAGATCCTGAGAACTTCCTCTGAGGAAGGCCCCCTGCCAGGGGCTGCTTACAGCTGGACCTGGGAAGGGGAAGATGGCCCCTCCCACTCCCCTCCCCACCAGGGCATAGAGGCATGGGAGGGGCCGGCTCTGTGTCCTCCCAGGCAGCCTGCTGTTAACAGCTGTGTGGCCTGCACGTGTGCACGTGTGCCTGCAGCCTCAGGTGTACCAACCGGCACACGATTCTGATTGAAACCCCAGCTGGGCTGTGGTTCCTGCCACCCTTGGATCAGCCTGGGGAGGGGACCCTGCAGGTCCTCTGCCAGCAGGCTGGTAGCAGGCAACCTTGGCTTGTGTCCCTGGGGGCCTGGGAACAGGGCTCCAGCCCTCTGCCCTCATATGGCTCCCATCTCCTGCCTGCTGCCCCAGTGTCCAGCTATGCCCTCCTCCCACCCACCCCGTTCCCGGCCGAGGTCTGGGCCCCGCCTCCTGTGGGCTCTGCCTCTGGGTTTTTCAATGCCAGAGATGGAAGGACTGTGGTAGGGACAGGAAGAGTCTCTGGGGCCACTTGGATTCCCTGTCCCATCTCGTACCTGCCGGACCCTGAGTCTGGCACTGTTAGGGGTTAGGTGTGGCAAGTCAGGAGAGGCTGGTCTGCCTCTGGCCTGAGGTGGGCCTGAAGCTTCCCTGCCCCTCCCATTGGCAGCTACCTCTGGGCCGCCCCGCGCTGGCCCCGGCAGAAGCAGGCAGCCTGTCCCTCTGGCCACAGACGCGGGCTTCTCGTGTACATTAGGGCGAAATAAGAGCACAGCATCTGGGCCAGACTGTGGCCTGTCCCTGACCCACCAGTGGGGAGCAATGTACGTCCACTTCTCTCCCTGGAGGGGAGGCGGTGAGGGTCGCTAGGGTCCATTTGAGAATCCATCCGTGGGTTCCTTCCTCAGCCACCCGTCCACCACGGCCCAGCAGCAGATCCTCACAGGGCCGCTGGAAAGGCTGCCGCTGCCACCTGCACAGGGCCCTTCGAGGTTCTGGACGGGCTTTCCAAGGAGGCCAGGTGTGGCTGTGTGTTGAGGAGCGAAGGCCAAGGGGGAAGGGTATTCCGGGCAGGAAAGGCAGCACAACAAGGTCTGAGATGCAGGGAACAGCAGGCAGTCCCTGTGGCTTGGCTGCGGGGTGGGACAAGGCAGCTGTGGGCGTGGTGCGGGCCAGAGAGCTACAGCCCACGGGCTGGAAGAGGGGGACCCTCCTCTCTGAGCAGGAGCCTTCCCACCTGACGCTGCGCCTTGGCTGCTGGTCCCGGTCACCCTCCCCCACGGGAGAAACTCCGCCTGCACCCTGGCTGCGTCTGCAATCTCCTGGTCTTCCGTCTTTGCGGCTCTCTCCTGTCTGGCCGGTCTCTCTGCCCCTTTGTCCCCTGACTTTCTGGTTCCAGTAGGTGTGTCTGTCTGTCACTCCTCTTCATCTTGACATCCAGCCGGTCAGTACCTCCAGGAAGCACCGTCCCCCAACTCAGACCGTTGTGCTGGACTGTGCATCCCTCACTGCCTGGCGTGGCCCTCAGCAGGACACAGGGTCTCCACTCACCAGGCACTGACCACACGTGGGTGCCACCCTGGCTCTTCCAGCTTTCTCTTTCCTCCCGGAGATGGGCAGGGCCTGGCCAAAAGAGGTGGATTTGGGGCTGTCCTGGAGGGGAGGGACCGAAGGCATGGATCAGCTCCACCGCGGCCCCCTTTTCTGCAGGTGCCTACCGCCCCCCTCCTCTGTTCGTCTGGCGCCCCCTGGTGGCTTCAGTCTATGTCTTGGCAGGTGTCCAGGCCCTGGACTGGGCTCCCTCCTCCCAGCGTTCCCCAGGCCGGAGGACCTGCCCATGGCCCCTGTCGCCCTGAGGCCTCACCAGCCTGGCCCCTCCTGGCCTCCTGCAGCCTCCTGAGCCCGTTCTCCCCTGGGCCTCTGTAGTTGCCTCTGTCCGGAGGTGCAAACCCCTCTCCCCATCCTTCGGGTCTCTGTACAGATAACCCCCCCCCCCCCCCCCCCCGACCTCTAGTGCTCTCTCTGTCACAGGGTAACCCCCCAGGGTGCAGAAATCCGACCCGACTCGGGACACACCTCCTGCACTGCGCCTACCCCCGGAGGAGCTCAGACGGGCTGCTGAGGGAGGCTGGGCCCCGGGCAGGGTGAAGGCTGAGTAATGAGGGAGGAGGGAAGCCAGGGGTCAGCGGCCGCAGCTGCCGTCCAAGCCGCCAGCGGTCGCCACCCTACGAGCTGGCCCTGCTGAGCCCCGTCCCCAAACTCTCACTCAATCCCACCGCCCGGCGGCGCCGGCTAACCGGCAGAGTGTGGGCCTTGCCCGCGGGGCTGGTGGGTGGGCACACAGCCAGCGGACTCAAACCTGGGCGCCTCCCGGCCTCGGCCTCACCTGAGGCGGCGATCGGGGCCCGGGCTGGACGCCGCCTCCTTCCCAGCGGCGGGCCCGGGTCCAGCAGCGACGTCCCGCCGTGAAACGCCCATTGTCTGCTGAGCCCGAGGGGGAGGGGACGGCCGTAGCCTGAGACCAGACACCAGGAGGCCGGGGCTGGGGGAAGGGGCCGCCCTGCCCCGTCCTCTTCCCCTCCCCCACCGGGGCGGCCAGACACCTGTGACTCCGGGCCGCCTGGCGGCCGGCGCTCGACTGTTCGATGCGCTTCACACACAAGCGGGATACCCTTGAGGTCCCGGCGGTGGGGACAGGCGGACCGCGCGCTGCGCGGGACCAGCCGAGGCGCCGCCGGCCGCGAGGCCCGACATTAAAGGTGTGTGCGCACGCGCGGTGTGTGCTCGCCGCCGGGAGGGCGGTGCCGCCCCACCCCCACCCCCTCCTTTCCGGGGGAGCTGGGCCCGGCCCCTCCGGAGTGAGGGAGGGGTCATCTGCGTAAGAAAGGGGTCGGCGGGGGGCCAGTAGGTAGGACTTCCCATCCTCTCTAGACTCTATTCCCCATCTTCCTTCTCAGGGAAGCACCTGGAGGGGCGCAACCACACCGTGTACTTGGGGGCACGCCCAGTGTGTGTTGTGTGACTGAGGGGCAAGTTTTGCATTGCATGAGGGCGTGCAGTGTGTATGCACGCAGGTGAGTGTGTGACACCCAGTGCCTGTGCAGACTTGAGTGAGTGGGTGTACATGTATCTGCGTACGTGAGACCTGGGACATCGAGTGCGTGTGTACACATGTGAGCAGTAGCATGTTGCTGTGTGTAAGCCCAGAGGGGGGCCGATTCTTGGCTCGGAGCACCCTCTGTTCCTGGGGTCTGAGCCTGCGAGGCCTGGTCAGGGCTGAATGATTTTGAGTCTGAAGATCCCAAAATAGCCCGGGTAGCCTGAGCTCCCCTCCCCCAGCTGGCTCTGAGGCCTCAATGGCCCTTTGTCTCTCTGAAGGCATCCAAGCCCTGTGGGGGCTCAGGCTTGGGCTGAGGCTGGGAGGGACCGGGCTGCATGCGGGTCCCCTTTCCCCAGGCCAGACCTGACAGGCCTTGCGCACCGCCACCACCACCACGTGAGCCCTAAGTCCAGCCCATTTGCTGGCAGAGTCCAGGGTCTCTGCCTGGGGGAGGCCTGCCCTGCCAGCACGGGCTCCCCCTGATCCCAGGGCTTGCCCCTCCCACACTCTGGTCCCCTTGCCTCCCCTCCTCCAGCAGGGCCCACCCATGATGTCCCAAGCTGCAGTGGCAGCAGCAGACAGGGCTCCTGTGCGGGTGTGTGCTCAGTGCGTATGTCTGTGGTTTAAACCCTGGCACTGTCTGTGGGCCCCTCCCTGAGTGGAGGGATTCCAACTGCAGTCCTGGGGGCTGCAGTGAGAAGTAAATGGGAAATGTGTCACTGCCTGGGCTCACCACACCAAGTTCTGGGCTGTGGGCCAAGCTCTGCCCGGAGGAGATAAAAAGTCAGACCCTGCCCTGGGTGCTCCAAGTCCGGGGCATTGCCACTCTCAGTGTGGTGTGGGCAGTGCCAGGGTGTGGTGAGGTGAGGTGAGGGGGTGGGAGGCTCCCCTGAGGAGACAGTGAGGCCAGCCAGGGGCAGGGTCTCCAGGTGGGCTGACAGATTGCTACTCTGTGTCCATCGCGGCCCGGGGTGGGGGGGGACCACTTTGTGTATTGACTTTTTTTTTTCCTGCAAGGTTTCAGTAGACCCTCAGGTTCCAGGGCTCCAAGAGGTTTGAAGACCCCTGCTGTGGATGATTGGGGACTGGACAGGGTGGGCTGACCCTGTTAGGATTTGGTACTAGTGTGTCTGGGCGCAGGACTGAAAGGAGTCCAAGGAGATGGACCTGAAGAACTGGGTGCTGGCTGGCAGGTGCTTGACGAGCAGGGAGTGAGCGAGGTGTGTGTGGGAGGACTCCAGGGACATGTTTGTGAGGCAGCTGCACACGTGATGGGGAGGACGGGAGTCCCAGGTGGGCCGCGCGCCCTGGCCCGCTGTGACGTCAGGGTCTCGACGTTCCCGGAAGGCCTCTGGGGGGCGCTCCAGGCTTGCGGTCTGGACCTGGAGCCCCGCGACTATTTGCATAACGCTCATTTACATGGGACTCATTTGCATAATCCTGTCACCTCGCGGACGCGAGTTGGGGGTGTGCGGATGGTTTGAGGTGCTGCTGTCAGGTCCTAGGGAGGGGTGGCGCACCCTCTGAATTGAGCCCAGCCTACTCCCCACCTGTGTGTATGTACCTGGAGACGCTACCCCCACAGTGCCGGGGTCGCGCCAGCGGGAGCAGAGACATTGACACGCACACGCGGTAGCACGCAGACCGCAGCCCAGAAACCGGGTCCTTCGTGCAGGTCGATCCCCCCTGCGGGGACACAGACAGACCCTCGGACACTCCGCCGCGCCGCCGCTCACACGCACAGCCCAGCCCAGCCCAGCCGGGTGGGAGCGGGAGGGGACCCTGTCCCGCCCACCTACTCGACCCCACTCCGCAGCCCCCCACCCCGACCTCACACGTGCCTTCTCTCCAGCGCCAGCCTCCGCTCCCCCTCATCTCCGGCCCCGACCCCAGCCCCCATCCCGACCTGCACCCTCCGCAGCCCCAGCGCCCCACCTCTGCGCCCTCCCCGGCCCCCGCGCCCTTCCAGCCCCGGTGCCCCCAGCCGACCCCCAGCGCCCGCAGCCTCTGCGTTGTCTTTTGTGCCGTCGCCCTCCCGTCCTCATCCGCCCGATGCTCCTTGCGGCGCGAGCCGCGACTCCCCGCGGACGCTGGGGTCCCCGGAGGCGTCTTCCTTTGTCTCAGCTCCCCGCCCTCCCTCCGCGGCGCCCCTCGCCCCTCACTCACCGCCTCGGCCCCGGCCTGGGCGCGGGGAGCAGGCGCGGCCCTCCGCGGCCGGCTCTTTCTTCTCTCTCTCCGGAGGCGCGCTCGCCCCTCCCGCTCGCAGCCGTCGCCGCTCCCGCCTCTGCCGGGGACCGAGCAGCCGGGACCCGCCGAGTCCCGGGCGAGGGGCCGCTCGCCGCCCTTCCCACTCGGACCGACTTCTCCTGGGCGGCCGCGCGGGCACGATCCGGGGCTGCGGGACTCCCCGAGGCTGGCTCCCGGAAGCCCGAGCCCCGCGGAGAGCTGCTGGCGCCTCCGGCCCAGGCCCTGGCCGGTGTGGACGGCAGGGGTGGTGCTGGCCCTCGGTTCCTCATCCACCTCCCTCCGAGCCCAAACTTGGGATTTCTACTCCGGGAGAATTCTGCACACCTCCCTTTATGAGCCTCAAGGGCTGTGGAGGGGGCCTGGCGCCCCCCCACTCCCCAGCTGTGACTGGAGCTGAACTTTGAGAATATAGCTGCTGTCAACTGGCCCAGGGGTCCAAGAATGGGGCGAGTGGCACCGAAGAGGCCCAAGGGCACCCCGTGAGGACCCCCACGCCTCAAGAGTGGGGGCTGAGGATCCCGGGCCATGCCTCCACTGCCGCTGGAGCGGGACCCCCGGCAGCGGCGCGGGCTCTCCCTGCTGGTGCGATATTTCATGATCCCCTGTAACGTCTGCCTGATCCTCCTGGCCACCGCCACGCTCGGCTTCGCGGTGCTACTCTTCCTGAACAACTGTACGTCTGTGGGTGTGGCAGCCTCCTGGGCCCAGGTGACCCTGCCTGTCTGCTCGCTGAGGTCCCCTGCCTCAGCCACCAAAGATTAGGGGACAGGCAGGGTCACAGAGAGGCCATCAGCTGTGACGTGGCTCAGATGGGCCGCTGCATCTTCTGGGAACACCTGGGTCGTTCTCTGGATGCCTGGGCCCCCCGAAGGCTGTCTGTGGGCTGGGGGCGGGGCAGGGGCCGGCCCACATCCTGAGCTGCAGAGACAACTTTCGTTGGGGGGGGGGTTGGGGGCAGCTGGCTACGCTGGGAATGGGGGCTTTGGCAGGACCTGGGGCTCATCTCGGGAATAGGTGGCTGCCCACACCCCTGCCACTGGGCCTCCCTGACAGGTGTCAGACCATGATGATACAGCCAGAGGGGCAGAGGAAAGCCAGGGAAGGGATGTGTGCAGGCAGGGGTGACCCCTCCAGGCTGGACAATGGGACAGGCTATGGAAGGACTGGCTCGGGCTGGGGGGTGGGGGCGGGGGTAGCCTGACTTGAGATTTGTTTTTTTCCAGACAAACCTGGGACCCACTTCACGCCAGTGCCCCCAACGCCTCCGGATGGTGAGTGAGGGCTCAATTGGTGACAGACTGAGCTTGGCAATCTGTGCCTGGAGGGGCGGTGGCACTCTTGGTGGTCAGGGGGTCATTCTTGGGGCGTGTACATCAGACATGTTAGCTGTGTCTGGAGCAGGAGGAGGCTGGATGAGGGAACCTGGATCCTTCCTGGGGAGTCCACAGTGGTGGACAGCAAAGGGAACCTGGGGTCCGCAGTCCCTGGGCCTGGCCCCACCTTGGCCTCAAAGTTGGGACTGACTTAGTGCTGGAGCCCACGGGTTGAGAGATGGGTCAGAAGACGTGTACAGAGGGCGTGGGGGGCCAGGGGCTCGGGGAGAGGGCCTCAGCAGGACCAGCAGCAGCTGTCTGAGGAGGGATGGGCGGGTCTGTTCCTGGACTGAGCAGGCTGGGCCTGGCCTCCTTGACCTGCTCTGTGGGCTGGGGCCCGGCCTCCCTGGGGGGCTGCTGTAATTAAGCTAATGTGAGCGGAGAAGAGAGGAAGCTGTCAGTGCCTCCGGAGGGCAGGGGAAAGGGGTGGCCTGGGGTCCTCTTGGGAGAGGGGGCTACTCCCAGGTCTGCTTTCAGTGCCTGGGCCCCCTGCTGGGCAGGCACGGCCCAGGTCCCTGAAAGTACACAGAGGGCTGTCCATACATGGGATGGGCCATGGGAGGGCGCAGGTCTGCACTGGGCTGGGGGTTTGGGCCCAGGACTGAGCCTCTCATAGGCTGTGGACAAGAGGCCTGGAGCTGGCTGGGTTTAAACACCTTCCTCTCTCCCAGCGTCCTCAGCCTTCTCTCCTCAAGCCCCAAGGCCTGCTGTGTCTCTTTTCCTTCACACATGCATTGGCGCGCCCCACAGCCTTCCACACGGGCCCCGCACCTG